CAGCCTAAGCTACATATTGAAATTCTGTCAGAGAACCACACACAGGCACCAAACCAAACCAAAACAAACAAACAAACAAAAGAATCAACTATTTAAGAAATCATGAAGGTTTTGTTAAGACAATTCAGGCACTTAGAGAGAATATATTAAGATTATAATTAAATGAGTTTAAGTTTGTAAATGGAACAACAACAACAAAATGTCTTAAAAGTTATTACTAAAATTTGCTACTAGATTGTGACTTATAAACTAACAACTCAAAGGGAGGTGGTATCTTCTGGGCACTGGGGTTCCTGTTGCATGTAGCTCCTAGGGGGAGTATTATTCAACTGTGTAGGGTAATACTTTTAAGTAAGCTTATAAAACAATAGGTTTCCTAGTGGCTTTTCCAAACATTCTTAGTGTTATTTATCCCTCCTTCCTCTCCTTATTATGTTCCCTCCTGCTTCTCACTGAATCTCCCCCTTTCTTCCTTCCTTCCTTCCTTCCTTCCTTCCTTCCTTCCTTCCGTCCGTCCGTCTTTCTTTCTTTCTTTCTAGCAACTGTCTCTTGCCACACTTCTCTCTACCCCTTCTTATCCACCCCACCCCCTGAAATAGTTCCTTTCTGCTTTTCTAGCTGCTTTTCTACACTCAAACCTAAAGATTCAAATGTAGGAGACCCCCCCCAAATATAGGTTACTGCCACTCTATTTGATTGCCATAACATGAGGGTAATACCCTATTGCTGAAGATGCTATAAATATCTGTCACAGCACTTGAAGAAATGAAATTGTTATCTGGAAGCATCTTCCTCAAGAGTTAGCTCTCATAGTGTCAAAAGGTGATATGTAAGCTGCCAATGGAGAACAGTTATCAACAATTCTACCCCACTGTAAAATCTGAGAACCATAACTACTGGAATGACAAGATATCCCCAATGGTGCAAAAGAAGCACTTGTATCTTTTGGGTAACCAAAAGCCTGCTTAATTCAGGTGAACTCATGTCTGGTACTGTAAACCTATCCAAGAACCCATGGCTGAAGAGGTCATAAACCCTAGAGGATAATCTGCTACTAGCACACTGCTAAATAATATACCTTACTACTACCTTCTAAATAAACTTAGTCTTACATTCATAGGTAAGTGTGCCTCTCACTCCTCTTTGGAGAAGCTTCTTTTTGTAGCAGATGGAAGCTATTACAGAGACCCACAAATGGTTAAGTAAGTGACCCTGGGATGCTCAGCCCCAAGTAGGACATCTAAAATATAAGCCCTACACCTAAGGTTCAAGGAATATTGCAGAAGAGGAGGTGAAAGAGTAAAAGCCTGACGACCAGGATGATGGCTGCAAGACAGGTCTTCTGGATGTCATAACCACAAACACTTAACAATAGGATTGTCAGCGGCAAATACCGTACTGATTGACATGCCAATGTGGATGGAGGAAAATATCATATGGCTGCCCCCCTAGATGAAGACTTATAGGCAGTCAATTGCTGATGAGAGAGGAAGAACCAGTTTTCTTCAGGGACAAATACCCAACCCTAAGTAGTTGGTTTTAGACATGCACATATGGGCAGCACTAATTAGACTCAGCAGGTTGATACACACACACACACACACACACACACACACACACACACACTCATATACACACTATATGTGTGTGTGTGTGTGTGTGTGTGTGTGTGTGTAGTATAATAGTTATAGTTATAAAATTGAGAGGTGGTGGTAGTATACAGGAAGAACTGGAGAGATAAAAATCAGGCAAGTACAGTGTATACAGTTCTCAAAATTTTAGGAATTTGTACACTAAATAAGATAAAGTCTGATGTCAAAGTACTTTTCAGCTTTGTTGACTGCAACACACTTCTCTCTCTTGGGCTGGTTTTACATCTGGTCTGCCGCTCTCCTTGGCAGGTATCTCACAATTCTGGCATCTTCAACATTTTGGGGTTTCCAAGATAATCCAGGCTTCACCTTCACAGTTTTACACAATGGCCTCTCCAAGCCTCCATGCAGCAGCTCTCCTGACACAGGCCTGGCCTCATTGGCTTTTCTTAGCTGCAGAGGGAGTGTATTCTTGTATTCTTGTATTCTTGACTCTAAAGCCAGAACAACTGTGGCTGCCAAGTCCTGCTGCTTGCTGAGGCTGAACACGGTCCCTTATTCAATTACAATTGCCTTAGCTTTCTGACGTTGATATTTCCTTCATCGCTTACGCTTTTCTTTAATTCCTTTTCACATCTTGGAAGCTTAGCTGAGTGGGTCTTGCCCTGAAGTCACCACCCTCTTTATTCCATCTAGCATCAAGTTTTCCTTTAAATTTCTTTGACTCCAACAAAACATTTCCTGGTATTCCTTTTCTCCTCAAACTATACATTTTGTATTTTTCCTTTTCCTGCTTGCTCCTTATCATTGTATATCTACATAAGAATGATCACTAATAACAGCCTGTCTTGAACACTCCTTTGTCAATGCCATTAATACAAAAACTCTTCAATTTAGCCTCAGGCAGATTTTTCAGACAAGAGCAAATAGCAGCCACATTCTTTACCAAACTCTCACAAGAATTGTCTCTAGGCCACTTACTAATATTCTTCCCCTCTAAAACTTCATGAGCAGGGTCATGATAATTTACATTGTTCTCAGTATCACTGTCTTCCATGATCCCATTAGTATGGCCCATTAAGCCCCATGATGGGGGATATCCATCTGTATATATGTTTCTCATATTGGTTAATGAATAAAACACTGTTAGCCAATAGAGGCAGAAGATAGGTGGAACTAGGAGATGAGGAGAATTCTAGGAAAGGTAGGCAGACAGAGGTGCCAGAAAAGACACCATGTAGACCACAAAGGAGTAACAGGTCTGGGCATTCTCTCATAAGCCAAGATTAATAGAAATAGATTAATGATTAAGACAGAGCTAGCCAATAGGAAGTCCTAGCTATCAGCTGACAATTTTATAATTAATATAGTGTCTGTGTGCTTATTTGGGGCCAGGTGGCTGCGGAAACCTCCAGCAATAGCCCCATTTAAAGCCTTCAACTGCTTTCCTAATACAAAGACCCAAAGTTCACATTCCATCAACAAGCAGCATGGTCAGGCCTGCCAAAGTGATACCTACTCTCTGGCACCAACTTCTCTCTTAACCACTGTTCTAGTACATGAAGAGATAGCATGACCAAGCCAACCTGAATAAATGAGCATTTTATTGGGGGCTTGCCTACACTTCCAGAGGTTTAGTTCATTATCATCATGGTATGGGGCATGGTGGCATGCAGGCAGTTCTGGAGCAGTAGTTGAGAACTACATCCTGGCAGAGAGAGAGAGAGCGAGCCTAGGCCTTAAGGGATTCTGAAACCCCTAAGCCCACCTCTAGTGACACAATTCCTTCAACAAGGCCACACCTACTCCAACAAGGCTATGTACCACTTCCTAATCCTCCTAACTCATTCAAAGAGTTCCACTCCCTGGTGAGCAAGCATTCAAATACATGAGTCTGGGGTGGGTGTGTGGGGCGCTCTTCAAACCACTACAGGTGTGAAGAGGAGATAGATGCTGAAGGGAAGTGTTTGTGGTAGGTACAGTGAGGAGTGGGGGCAGTGGCTACAGATGAGAAGCTTAAGGGCAAGGGGCTTTGGATATAGAGTAAGGAGACTGAAGAATTTGGATACTGGACTATATATAGTCTTAGAGGAACAAGGAGACTGAAGGAAGCAGGTAAGGATATGGGTTGAACAAGCAGATAGAGGGGAGATAAAGTGTGGAATGAGGATACAAAGGGAGGCATCTAGGTTGAGGAAACTTAGAGGAAATAAGGGTATAGGGTGAGGAGATGAGGGGAGAAAGGTAAGAATGTGGGGTATGGGTTGAAGATCCTGAGGGGAGGATAATAGGAGTGTGGTGTTATGGAATATTTAACTACATATTTGCTTATACTGCAGAATATTACTTTAACTGTATAAAGGTGTGTTACATTTGTTTGTGCTGCATTTGTTTAATTATGTAAAGATGAGTTGCATTTGGTTCACCTTGCCTGCCTAAGATATCAGTTTGGTCTAATAAAGACCTGAACCTCCAATAGCTAGACAGGCGGGGCTGGCAGTCAGAGGGAATAAATAGGGAGAGAGAAAAGAGAAGAAACAGAGAAGAGAGGAGAGAACAAGGGAGACACCTTGAGGCCAGAAGCCAGGCAGCTGCCATCCAGCCAGCCAGAGACAGCAGGAATGTAAGATATACAGAAGGAAAAGTAAAAAGCTTCGATGCAAAAGGATAGATAAAGAGAAACAAGTTAATTTAAGTTAAAAGAACTAGCCAGCAATAAGCCTAAACTAGGCTGGGCATAAATAACTAACAAGTCCCTGTGTCATGATTTGGGAGCTGGTTGGTGGCCCCAAAGAAAAAGCCTGGTATAGTGTGTGTGAAGGAGCTGAGGAGAGGTAAGGGTGTGGCTTGAGATGAGCAGAGGTATGGGGGGGGGGTGGGCTGAGGAAGCTGAGGAGGGAGGGAGGTAAGGATGTGCGGTGAGGTGAGGTGAGGTCAGGGATGGTCTCTGGGGTGTGAAGAAGCCGAAGAGAGATAAGGGAAAGAGTTGAAGAGATGAGGAGACATCTCTTGGGTTGGGGTTGAGGAAGCTGAGGGGACAGAAATAAAGATATGTGAGATTTGGGGAGGCATCTTTCCTGTAGGCTGAGGGAGAGGGATAGAAATGTGGGGTGAGGAGATCAGGACAGCCAGTTTTGCTGTGGAGTGTGGGAGGAGACGGAGGGGTGGGATAGTAAGCTTTGGGTGAGGCTATGAAGGGCAGTGTCTGGGTTTGGGGATGTAGGAACTAAGGTGAAAGGTGGGGTGTCAGAAGTGGCAGCTGAGGCGTGAGGGATGTAAGCAAGCGGCAAGTTACAGCGTTGAAGGTTTTCACGTGAGGCTGTGAATACCGCGGGGACCCAGCCCCAGAGTCCAAGAATCCCTAAGGTGCCAGGCAGTCGGGCCCCTGGGCGCGCCGGCCTCGCTCACCTCTGGCTGGGCCCGCGCTCTGCTCTGCTCCACAGCCCACGCGGCGGGAGAGGAAGGAGGGACTCCTGGCAACGACGCCCCGCCCCTTTCCGTTACTAATCCCGCCCCCAGACAGGATTCTCGCTCTCATTGGTTCGCTTTCTTCAGAGGGCGGAGTTCTCAGTGGGCACGGACTTCTCAGTGGGCGGGGCCTGTTCTGTGGTCTTCAACCTGGTCTTTTCCTGAATTTAGGTGGAGTAGAGATGAAGGAGCCTTGTTCTGTCTCCTGCCTGTGTTCCCCAACCCCACAGCCCCCAGTGCTTGACAGCTGAGTTCCTTTCTTAGGTGCTCCTGTGTATAGACAGCCACATGGACAGGGCCGTGTCTGATTATCGTGTCCCTAGTGTCCAGGACAGCACCTGGCTCAGAGGTGCCATAAACATTTGTTAAATGTCCAGTATTATGTGTGACAGACATTGGTGCACCGGCCTTACAGGGGAATTCAGTGCTTGTAGGGGACGAAAGGGATTAGATGAGGCATGGGTATTACCACACAGGCACATGCAATTCTGGCCCAAGTCTGCCCTGTAGTATGTTTCTGTCTCCACGGATTAGATCCCTATCACCAAGCAAGGACGGGCAATAGATCTCAGTACTTATAGGCCAAGAGTATAAAACTCTACTTGGGGGCAGGGGTGGGGTGGGGCTGGAGAGATGGTTTGGTAAGAGCACTTACTGCTCTTACAGAGGACCAGATTTGGTTCCCAGCACAACCATTTTTGAGTCCTGTTCTAGAAGATCCGAAGCCACCTTCTGATCTCCAAGACCACCTTGGAGGCATGCACATGGTGAACATGTGCACATACAGGCAAGCACTCCTAAATATAATAAATAAATCATTATAAACCAAAAATCTCTAGTTGGGAGGAGGCTAATAGAAGGCTAGTCCAAACCAATCCCTACCCTCAACTCCCACCCTGGGGATTGAACTCATGACCTCCTGCTTGAAAGGCAAGCACTTTATTAATCTTTCTCCCGTGTGTGTGTGTGTGTGTGTGTGTGTGTGTGTGTGTGTGTTGTGCTGTATGTATGGTATGGGGGCTCTGTGTGTGTGTGGTATGTGTGGTGTGTGCACTTTGTGGGTGTTCTGTGTGTGGGGGTGTGGTCAAAGGAGGACATTGGTTGTCCTACTCTGTCATTCTCTGCCTTATGCCTTAGAGAAAGGTGTATCAATGAAATTGAAGTCTACTGTTTTTGCTAGACTGGCTTGCCAGTGAACTCCCTGGGTCTGCTTCTCTCCACCCCCCAATACTCAGGTTATGGACCTGTGTGGTAATTGCCTGGCTTTCACATGAGTGCCAGAGATTTAAATCCAGGTCCTTTTGCTTGTGAGACAAGTGCTGTTACTGCCTGAGCTGTCTCTTCAACTCCCAAATCAATCTGTATTCAGAGGCTGTGGACATATTGTTCAGGGCCTGCCATCAGAGGACTGAGAGGGTTACGATGAACTGGCTGTTGGAGGCAGGATGGAGACTTGGGTAATGATGGAAGTGTGGATGAAGGGAGGCATGGACACAGAGGTGGGGAGTGCAGAGTGAAAAGCCAAGATGATCTGACAGGGTCTGGCGATGGGAGATGAGGGAGAAATAGGCATTGGTCGGAAGGTGTCAATGGCACACTGCGGTGAGGACAGTGGAGGACAGCACAGCTTGACACTGAGTGTTTAAGCGCACAAACCACCCAGGACCCTCAGAATGATCCTTAGCAGACTGGCAGAGAGGAAAACATCAAGAGTTGAGACAAACTGTTCTGGACATCCATTTGTTGCTTATTGAGAAGGATGTTGTTTAGTCAAATCCCTTCATATACTGCCAGGCCTCCTACCTCTTCTGAATCTGGTTTTCTTCCTGTCCTTTTACAACCAGAACTACCCTTTAAACTTCCAATCACTGTCCAACTGCATAAACAGCTCACTGACTTCTGTTATAGAACTCCAGAAAAAAAACACAAATCAAGATTAACCCTGCTGGGCATTGGTGGTGCACACCTTTAGTGGGAGGCAGAGGTAGGCAGGTCTCTGTGAAGTCTGTGAATTCAAGGCCAGCCTGGTCTACAGAGGGAGTGCCAGGACAGGCTCAAATAGACAAAAGAACCTTGTCTTGAAAAAAAAATCTCCTGTAATTTAAGTACTGGGCAGTGAGATTAGGATTTGACTGTTAAAGCTGCAGGATTATTATTGTTGTTTTTAAGATTTATTATTTTATTTGAATGTTTTGCCTATGTATGTATGCATGTATGTATATGCACTGTGTCCATGCATGATGCCTGCAGAGTCAGAAGAGGAGTGTCAGATTCCCTGGGATTGGAGTTACAGTTTTGGGTGATGGCAACTAAACCTGGGTATTCTACAAAAGCAACAGGTGATCTCAAACACTGAGCCAACTCCAGTTCCAAAGCTTTAGTTAGTTTGTTTGTTTGCTTGTTTGTTTTTTAATGAGACAGGGTTTCTCTGTATAGCCCTGGAACTCACTCTGTAGACTGGGCTGGCCTTGAACTTGGAGATCTGCCTGCCTCTGTCTTGGGAGTGTTGTAACTAAAGGTGTGCACCACCTCTGATTGGCTTTAATGATTGAATTTTAACAGAAATTACAAACTAGCTTGTTGGAAGTTCTCTGTTCATTTTTCCCAGATTGGGTGAACTATTGTTGCCCCAAACCTGTGGAAATCCAGACACTTCTTCAGGGGAGGTTACAGAGACCTCATGAGACAGAAGTCTGCAAAAATATTTTGGAAGCTCAGGGATGTTTTAACATGGAATATAACCTTGTGTGAGCATATTTGATATTCAAAGGACATTAGGAATTCCTGCTCTGGGAATCTTCCCATGTGCTATTTAGGTTTTAATGACTATTAAAATAAGTATTATAAGAAGCCTAGATCTTTCTCAGCTTTTAATGTATATCCTAAGAACATATGATACATTTTCTTGTTTCTTTCCATGTTGTAGAATATTATCTTAAGGTGTGCTGCTTTTGTTTGTGCTACATTTGTTTGAAGTTGTGATTCTTTGCCTGTCTAAAACACCTGGTGGTCCTAATAAATAGCTGAATGGCCAATAGTGAAGCAGAAGCAAGGAAGGATAGGTGGGGCTAGAAAGCAGAGTATAAATAGAAGAGGAGCAGCAAGAGAGCAAGGAGAGGAGGACCTCAGGGGCCAGCCACCCAGCCACCCAGCCACCCAGCCACCCAGCCACCCAGCCACCCAGCCACCCAGCCAGCCACAGAGTAAGAAGGAAAGTAAGATGTACAGAAGTAAGAAAGATAAAAACCCAGAGGGAAAAGGTAGATGGGATAATTAAAGATAAGAAAAGCTGGCTAGAAACAGGCTGGACATGTATAACTACGAATAAGCCTCCATGTGTGATTTATTTGGGATCTGGGTGGTGGGCCCCCCAAAAGCCAAAAGAGTAAAATACACACAACAGTCACATATCTCAGATTGGCCTCAAACCATGCAGCTACACACACCTACCTGTTTTATATGGTCTTGGGAATCAAACCTAGAGATTCTTATATACTAGGCAAGCCCTCTACCTGCTGAGCCACATCCCCAGCCTTTCAAAGGTATTTCTTACAAACGTTAAATTTAATATTATAATTTTTTATTTTATCACTATATCACTCAAAATTTTTAAAATGTCAGTTACAGGGCCAGGAATATGGCCCAGTAGGTTAATGCTTCTGCTGCTAAGCCTGACAACCTGAGTTCAATCCTTAGACCCACATGGTGGAAAGAGAAAATCATCTCCCACAAGTTGTCCTTTGACCTCCACATATATGTAATAATATGCTACCCACACACATACATACAAAGTAAAAATGTAATAATTTGAGGCTGGAGAGATGGCGCAATGGTTAAGAGTACTTGTTTTTTTGTGGAGGACTTGAGTTTGGTTCTTAGCACCCACTTGGTGGTTCATAGTCTTCGATAATTCTAGTTCTAAGAACTCTTGACACCCTCTTCTGACTTCCATGGGCACCAGACAACATACACATACATATGTTCAGTAAAATACTCATGTATATAATCTAAAATTATATATATATATATATATATATATATATATATATTATATATATGTTTGGTTTTTCAAAACAGGGATTCTGTGTGCAGCCCTGACTGTCCTGTAACTTGATCTGTAGACCATGCTGTAAAGCTGTCTATCTCTGCCTCCCCTCCCAAGTGCTGGGATTAAAGGTGTTTGTCACCACGGCCTGGCCTCATGTAATACTTTTTAAAAGTGAGCTGTCTCTGAGATAGCATCAAGCTTGCTATTCTACCTTTGACAGTCTCAGCTTCCCAATTTTCTATTCCTATGTATGGCACTGCCTTAGTGTGAGTTCTGTCATTATTTCCACCTGTACCGTCATAACCACTGCCTCTAGACGGGCCTCGTGATTCTCCCACTTCTACATCCTATTTTGTTGTATCATTCTGATTGGCCAGAAAAAATCTTCTTATAATTAGGAGAGATTATGACTTCCTCTGCTCAAACTCCATCAGTCTCCCATTATTTGAAGAAGACAGAAGATGAAGATGTATTCAAGATAGGCTTGCTTGGCCTCCTGGTCTCTGACTTAACACCAGCTATAGACTGTCATGTATTAATCTTTTACAGCAGGTATTTCTCTCCATATACCTTTGAATCTTGCTGTTCTCTTTGTCCAGGAATCTGGACATCAAGTTTGGGATATGAAAGACAGGGAAGAACATGGCTTATTCCTTTTTCCTTCAGGTCTGTTAGTTGGCAGTGCCATTTAAAAAGACCTGCTTTTACCACTATCTCAAAGTGCACCTTCTCATTGATCTGTTTGCTCACTTCCCTTCACCTGACCACTAATATTTGGTTTATTAAGTCATGTACACCTTCAGTTGTTATCTGTGTTCCTTACTGAAGTCTTTGGGTGTCAAAGGAAGGGCTGTTTGCTAATTTTGTTCATTGCAAGTTCACTTGCCTTGTACACTACAGGCATCTAACAAACACTTGCTAAATGGGTCATTCCAAAAATAGCTCTGTGTCCATCAGCTGCACTGTCCCCTACTCATACTAACCTCTTCTAGTAGAGAATTCTGTATAGGCAGGGA